ATAACGTGTTTACATTATGACATGTTTACATGTTTACATTATAACGTGTTTACATTCTAACATGTTGACATGTAACATGTTTACATTTGAATGTGTTCCTGCTTTCTGATGATAATGAGGTAGAACATGAGATGGTCATGGATTAAAGTGTCAACATATACAGGAAATAAATAGCAGTTTTAGTTTTGGAAGAAAAATAATGTAGTTTATCTAATTCACATAAGGATCAGGAAATTATAAATATAATAAATGTATATATACACACATACACCACACACATCTGAGGGGAACTCACCGTCATGTTTCCCCTCTGAAGCTCTGTAGCACCAGACGACTGGTTTAATGAAGCCGCTGTCTGAGGAAGCAGCTTCTTGTGAAGGAAACTGTGACGCTAACGTGTCAGAGCTGATGTTTGAACTGAGCTGCTGAGTGTTGACACTCCCAACAGGAAACACACACACACACACACACACTACCTTGTTCTACCACATACATGGGAACATTGTATGTGGTAGAACATTAACACACTAACCTTTATTAACTCAGGGATCACGACAACACAACAGGAGCTTCCTCTGCTTCACTTACCTCCATCAACATCTGGAAAACTGTTGTTCTTCAATTCTTTTTAGTTTCGAGCTGAAACTCACTGAAACTGAAGCAGCGAATATTCTTATTTATTTATTTATTCCATGAAAAATGATCTTTGATAAGATTCATGTTATATTTTCATCAGTTAAAAATAAGAATCAAATGAACCATTGACCTGGACGGAGTCCGTCATGTTTGATTCACACTCGCTCATATGATGCACATTGACTTCAGATTAAAACTGGATTTTCAGAGAGGTTTCATATTTAACGTGGTTTCTGTTTGTTGGAGGCAACAGAAAACCAAACTGCAGTAGACAAACATCATTCAGTGTAAACTTGAACAGTGTCGAGTGGTTTCTTACGTCCGTCAACATGTACAATGATACTTCGAAGTTCTGAAAGATCAGGAAAACTATTTACAGAAATATTATAGAAACCGAACAAGTCGAAAAGAATTAAAAAACTGATTTCATTTTCATGCAAGAGCAAATTTAATAGAAATGTTCAGAGCAGCAAACAGAATCCACCATTTCCACGACGACACAATGTGATTTAAATCTGGCTTCAAGCTTCTTTAGAAGAAATCTACTTGTTCTATATAAAACAAATTAAACTGATTGACAACATGAACTTTCCTCCAAACATATAACAGCTTTTAGTTTTATACATAAAACAAAACTCTACAAATAAAAAGTAAAACAATAACTCAATTCATTTTTTTAAATCCAAATTCAATTCACTTTAGTTTGCTTCATGATGGAATGATACACACACGCACACACGCATGCACACCCGCACATGCACACATATGCACACACACAAACACACACAAACACACACGTCCTCTTCAACAGAACTGAAAGAAAGAAAATAAGACTGTGATTAAACTCTTCATTATATTTAAATGTATTATTATCATATTAAACTTGATCAATTAAAACTTAGTGAGGAAGAGAAGGTGAGGAAGTACAGTTTCTGCTGCCATCATGTGGTGAAACTGTGTTACTGACAATCACTACTTATTTGGTGACGCTACATTTGTGAGTCAGTTGGTCCTAAATTTCCCACAATGCCTTTGTGAGGAATGAAGGATGAGCAGTTACAACATGTGATAACTTTTCTCTTCTGCTCTAAACGATGATGGACAGAGGACAGACAGGTGACGAGGATCTGTACACACTCTACTACAGGTGAGATAATAAATACACTTTAGATTATTTATCAAATACTTTGAAATACTTCTTCATATTTATTTACCTTCCATCTGTTTCCGCAGCTGTTACACAACACAAAGGTTGTCATCGGCTCATCAGCGCTGCGTGTCTGTACCTGGAAGACACACACACACACAGTAAAGTTCTGACCAATATACTTTTTTAAGTGTGTGTGTGTGTGTGTCCACCTGTGTGTACGTGCAGCTCTTCCCATGACACTTGCTGCAGATGAACATGTCAGTCTCAGTTCCTCCGACCTTCGACAGCTGATGTTCTCTGATCGACTCTTTAGTCAAAGTCTCTCTGATCTGCTTCAGCTCCGCACTCGCCATCTCCTACACACACACACACACACACACACACACACACACACACACACACACAGTGTGTAGTAGTACCATAGACTCAGACCAGAGAACTTCAGACCTCCACTCTGCCTCTCACCTCACAGCTCATGTTGGCGATGCGCAGCGGCGAGATGTTCCCACGCAGGACGTTGCGCCGCAGGTCTGGATTCTTCTGGTCCTTCAGGTTCGAGATGCGGCTTCGTAGACGAGTTTTATATTTAATGTCTGTGGATTTAAACTCCTGGAAAATCTGTGAGCACGACGAGTTAAAGATAACTAGTGTTCTTTATTCACTGTCCGCTTCATATGTACATGAACGTTGTAAAACTTTTTACTATTATACTTTTTAAATCAAAGTAAACTTACACACTTTAAAAACATGCTCTCAGAATTCCTGACTTAAATCATTTTTATTTTAAAATAATCCAGACATTTGAAACACACACACACACACAGGATATGTTCCTCGATCTGTGCTGCGAGCAGCTGACAGTCCACTCCGAAGCTCTGGTGATCATCTGAAACAAACATTGAACAAAACCACACAACAAACATCTTCATTTGGACCACGTGTGTCTGTTTGTGTACTGAAGAAGAAGAAGTTACTGAAGAAGAAGAAGTTACTGAAGAAGAAGAAGTAACTAAAGAAGTTACTGAAGAAGAAGTTACTGAAGAAGTTACTGAAGAAGTTACTGAAGAAGAAGAAGTTACTGAAGAAGAAGTTACTGAAGAAGTTACTGAAGAAGAAGTTACTGAAGAAGTTACTAAAGAAGAAGAAGTTACTGAAGAAGTTACTGAAGAAGAAGAAGTTACTGAACGTTGACATGTTTCACTCGTTGTACGAAGACAAATGAACCCTGATCAGTCCACAGACGCAGATCTTCTCACCGTCAGTCCGCAGCGCCGCCACCAGCAGCTCCCGACACTTGTTCCGGACGCTGTCGGTGGTGACGGGGGCGGGGGGGAAGGAGGTGACCTGAGAGGGAGGGGCGGAGTTTGCACGAGTTTCCCCAGACGTCTTTCTGCTGAGGAAGAGAGGAGGCGTAAACCGTGACCTCATCCTGCAATAGGCGTGACATCATGCGTGATGTCATGATGAGTGACATCATCATGACATCATGCATGACATCGTAATGACTGACAACATCATGCGTGACATCATAATGAGTGACATCATCATGACATCATGACTGACATCATCATGACATCATGTGTGTCATTGTAATGACTGACATCATCATGACATCATGTGTGTCATCGTAATGACTGAC